CAAGCTCAGTGCTCCTTCTAGTCCTGCATCAGCTGTATCTCTGGCCATGTCCATGGGGACCTGGCAAGGCCCACGGTGCTTGGCAGAACTGGTTGAGAGAGAAGCCTGGGTATGTGAGAAGACATCCCTTTTTATTATGTTGCTGTCACCTGCACATAAGTAGTGGAATTTTCTGATGCAGCCCGAACACGGACAGCCATCTACTTGTCTTCATTTGCATCTCTTAGGAGGAAATAAAATCATTTAAGAATTCCAGCCCCTTATTTATAACAAGCTCCTTCCTTATGCACGAAGGAATAGCTCCAAATCAAGATTCTTTCCCGATGAGATGCAAACCAGTGTGCAGTGAAACATGTAACCAGAGCTGTAATTTCCTGACCTCAGCAGCACTAAACCTCACCAATAGCATGCCAGTAGCTGGTTTCCATGTAATGGCATAAACACAGTTTTGCCAGTTCAAAGCACTTGGAAGTATTTCATTATGCCTTCCTCCTAGCTGGATGACACTGACATACGCCAAGTCTGAAATAATAACTAGCTTGTCCATCGACTAGTGAGTGATGTTTTGGATTTGTAATAAGGCAGCTGGACCAAACAGTCTTTAGATATATGTCATCATTTCAATTTTGCTCTAGGATCCAGGGTGATAAATAGGGGCTCAGATGCGGAAGCTGGGAATTAGGGGAAAGGGTGAATGTCCTCCTCATTTCTCCCTCCCTGGTTCCTCAGGGGTTGGATGTAGTTCAGTGGAACCAATACACATTAAAGCAGCGGTTCTTAACCTGTGGGTCACGACCCGTTTGGCGGTCGAACGACCCTTTCACAGGGGTCACCTAAGACCATCCTGCATATCAGATATTTACATTACGATTCATAACAGTAGCAACATTACAGTTATGAAGTAGCAACGAAAATAATTTTATGGTTGGGTCACAACATGAGGAACTGTATTTAAAGGGCCAGAAGGCTGAGAACCACTGCTAAAGGGATGGAACGTGGAAGGTGTTCCCAAGGAGTTCAAGTTCCTGAAGATAAGATATAAATAACTTCAACTCTGAGCCAGAATGGCAGAAGTGCCATTTGGTCTGGGGCAATGGAGGCAACTCTAGGGACGCCCCATTGTCTCCAGACCCACTCACAGGGGTGTCCTTTGGCCTCATTGTTGAGTTCTATTCTCTTCTGCCAGCTTCCTCGGCTTCACCCAGATCTCTGCTCCATCTTTACCAGGGGTGGGCAAAATTTTTGACTCGAGGGCCACAATGGGTTCTTAAACTGGACCGGAGGGCCGGAACAAAAGCATGGATGGAGTGTTTGTGTGAACTGATATAAATTCAGAGTAAACATCACTACATAAAAGGGTACGGTCTTTTTTTTTTTTAGTTTTATTCATTTCCCCGCGGGCCGTAGTTTGCCCACGGCTGATCTTTACTTTGGTCTGGAAGTGGCCCTAATGGCCACTCTGACTCTTCTCTCCATATCACGGCATTCTTCCTACTTCTGCTGTTGGTTGGTTTCTATTCTAGGAGCGGGAAACTTACTTGTCTGGACAGTTTTTGCATACCAGCCCACCAGATGCCCATGCCTACTTTAGCCAGCATTGTAGAACTGGCAGAGGGGCATTGGGAGCTGTGGGCAAGGTGTTACCGTTAGACTTGGGTGTGGTTGCACTGATATTCTCAAGTACACCTCTAGAGGGAAAGGAGTTTAGATTTATGCCAATTGACCAAGGAATTGCCTCTATGCAGGAGGCACATGTTGTGAAAGGCTTTCATCTGGTCATAGGCCACTGGCTCTATATCCTTTCACGGTCTCAGACTCTACCATGCCATGGGCAAGCAGCCTAACAACTCATTGCCTCCAAATATTTTCCTTTATTTCAATTTTATGTCTTCATTTGAAAGACTCGTCACTCCATTCTCAACGTGGCTCTATCACTCGGTCTTTGTCCTCCGAGGCTTTCTCAGAGAAGCCTGTGCTCTCAGCTTTCATAACTGCAGACTGACCTCCATCATATGAGTAGGCCTCACCCAATCAGTTGAAGGCATGGACAGAACCAAAGGCTGACTTTCCCTCAGAAAGTCAGAATTCCCCTGCCAAGCAGCCTTCACACCGGACATCAGCTCTGCAGGTACTGGACTCGCTAACCTCCCTAGTCAATGAGCCAATTTCCTATAATCTGTCCCCAATGTATCCTATTGGTTCTCTCTCTGGAGAACCCTAATACACTCCCCTAAAAGAAACTCTGCACCCCTTAGCAGTCATTGCCAACCCCTCCTCCTCCAGAGCAACCACTATATATTTGCCTATTCTGGATATTTTATAGAAATGGAGTCATACACTATGTGATCTTCTGTGACTGGTTTCTTTCACCTAGAATAATGTTTTTAAGGTTTCTCCAAGTGGTAGCATGTATCACTACTTCATTTCTTTTTATTGCCAGATAACATTCCATTGTATGAACATACCAACATTTTAATTCTCCATTCATCAGTAGATACATATCTGGGTTGTTTCCATTTTTTGGCCATTATGAATTGTACTGCCATAAACATTTATTGACAAGTGTGTTTTTTTTTGAGAGGCACGTGCCTTTTTTTCTCTTGGGTATAGACTGAAAGTGGAGGAATAGAATGTTTAACATTTTGAAGAACTGCCAAACTGTTTCCCAAGGTATCTTGATCATTTTAGCAGCAATGTACAAGAGTCCCAATTTCTCCACATCCTAGTTAACACTTCCATTGTCTATCTTTGTTATGATAGCCATCACAGTAGTTGTGAAGTGGTATCTTACTGAAGTCTTGATTTGTATTGCCCTCATATTTTCTAATCATCCTTTTGGTTTCTTCTTTGACCCATTGGTGATTTAGCACTGTGTTGTTGAATCTGTATTTTTGTGCATGTCTTAAATTTCCTTTTCTTCCTGATCGATTGACCTCTTTTCGTAATGAAATATCCCTCTTTATCCCTCATTTTTTTAATTTTAATGTCTATTTTTATCTAATATTAGTACAGTCAGTGCAGCTCTATTGTGGCATTTGTTGTTTTTGTTTTGTTTTAGTTTTGTGTTGTGTGTGTGTGTGTTTTGGCCTGGTATACCTTTGTCCAACCTATATTTTTAAATTAAAATCTGTGTCCTGTAGAGAGCATAAATTTTTAGTGCAATCACAAAAATCTCTTTTAATTGAGCTGTTTAAGCCATTCACATTTAATGTTATTTGTGATGTTGTTAGTGCAAACCTCTCAGGTTGCAATTTGGGAAAACTGGTCTCAGAGGATGTCCACAGACAACTCTTGGGAAAGACTTCCTTCCACACTCAGATACACGTGGAAATGCTGCATTCTATCCCCTTCGGACACTCACCATTTAATCGGCATATGAAAGGTTCTGAGTCTTGCAGCAATAACTCTTAAGCTTTGTTTAATGCAACATTTCTCAAACTTACTTGATCTCAGAACTCTTTTGCAGAAGAACAAATCTCAGGAGACACGGATGTTTCATGGAGCAGTTGGGGAAACATAGTGTTTAGAATGAAATTAATTTCATTCAAAAATCTTTCCTGTATATCAAGATGAAGAAGATATTTCTTACTTGTGCTTAGATATTCAAACAGGGTTTCTGTCACCAGGTGAATTTTCTCATGTCATCAAACCCAGACAACTTCCAAGGGCCATTGCTTTCTAGAACTTCTTCGGAGTCCCCTCCCTGCAGCAGCCGCAGGTTCTACCAGGGGATGTCCCTTCTGGCGCCCAGGACCAGTGGGTGCCACAAGCAGACAGTCAAAGGCAAACCAGGGCTTTTGAATTTAACCACCTGTGGTACTCAAAGCAAATCTGGAATCTATTTCAAAAAGCTCACAATTAAGTAGGAGAAATAGACTTGGGAGGGAGTGATCGATGTGATAAATCAGGAACTTCTATTGTCACCACGGACACCTGCTGACCAAGTTTAAAGAACTCGAGGTCCTTGGTAAAGAAAAACCACGCCCACAGCGATGACTTCTCTTCTGCCCTGTTCACCAGGAGGGACAGAGGGCTGGCACGGGGCCTTGCTCACCTGGACCAGCTTGTCAGGGCAAAACCGTCTGTGCTGCTCTTTTGAAAATTCCGCCAGCCTCATGGTTTCATCCTTTCCATTGGCAGAGGTACGTTTGGATTCAGGGCTCCCGGTGGCTCCACCTACCTTCTCAGGAGTCTCACATGAAGCCTCCTGGCTGAGGGGGCCGCTTCCTCCCCGTGCCCCCAGGTTGGGGCTTTCCTGCTTTGGTTCTTCTCTAGAGGCTGTGGCGTCTACAGGAAGCAGCCTCATTCTTTTTCTTTCCTTAGCTTCTCAACTGTCCTTTCAAACAAACAGGGAGAACAGGGCCTCTGGTCCTGGTACCTGGTCCCAGCCTGAAATATACACCCTCCCTCCCCGATAGTAACATGGTGGTGGCAGGCTGCTAAGAGCCCAGGGAGAGAGAACTTGCAAGCTTATCACACATTCATAAGCTCTGATTCAGGAGAATAGCAGATCACTGGGAAAAGGATCTGATTTAAGAAACCAGAGTTGAATCTCCAGTCTGAAAACAGAGGATAGAGTGTTTTTTTGTTGTTGTTTTAAATATGTTTTTTTATTGATCTTTAGAGAGAGGAAGGGAGAGGGATAGAGCGATAGAAACATCATCCATCAGCTGCCTCCCGCCCCCGCCCCCTCCCCCCAGCCCCCCACTGTAGATTGTGCCTGAGCATGTGCCCTGACCAGGAATCAAACTAGAGACCTCTTGGTTCCTGGGTTGGTTCTCAACCACTGCGTCACACTGGCCTGGCCAGAGGACGGGGTTTAAACAGTTTTCTTCTTTGGGACTCAATCCCCAAACAGAGCTGCCACCGCCCAGCTCCCATAGCTCAAAAGTGACTTAGCTAAAAATATAAAAGTTATTCCATAAGTGATAAAATCAAAACTAAAACAAACAAACAAACAAACAAAAAAAACACCCATAGAAATAACTAAACTCCAGAAATATAGTTGCTTAAACATTTGTATTTTTATTGAACTTTTTTTTAATTTCTGCCCGGTTACGACAATTAAATAGGAAACCGCAATTACAATTCACAAACTGTGGCATGAAAAATAACACACATCCCATCACCCATCAGGAATGACACCAAGCCCTTTCCATGTTTTTCAGTCATAGGAGTCCATCACACAAGTGTCAAATACGAGCACTGTCATTTTTTCTTGGAAGGGGAAGAACATTAATCCTGGCAGCACGTTACAATTCCAGGAAGCGGCTCTGATACTGCGAGTTGCAGGGATAGAAACCATAACCGACGGAGAGGGTGTTTCTTGGGGGGCCAGGGGCTACTTGGCGGGAAGACTCCCCGTGTGCTTAGGGACCTGCCTGTCGCCTCCGCTGGCCGAGTCTTCCCAGGTGTGGAAGGAGGAAAGGACTTCCTGCACAGCCGGTGAAAGTTCCCACAGAGCAGAGTGTTTCCTGTATCTTCACCCCTCCCCCACCCTGGGGCAAGGTCTCAAGCTTCTCTGGAGCTGCTTTCGGTCACATGACCCTCGACTGCATGGTCTTTTTACTTAAACACATGTGACCCCAAGATTTCTTCTTACTCTGCTTCTCTAGGGTTCGGATGACAGCACAAAACGTCACTTGTTGAAAAATTGATATTAAGAACGTGGGCATTTATGTTCATAATAACAGCACACACTCTTCAGGGTATGTCACCCAAAGGGGCATTTTTTTTTCTTCATTTAATATGGTCCCCAGGAGAATTAGCTCAAAGTCACACACTTAAGAGTCTTTACAAAAGACGGGGCAAAATCCGTTAATTTGACAGTTTAGGAACTGTCTCGTGCCAATTAAAAACTTTTACGATTCAATGGTCCACAAAGCAATTAAACATTAGCATTCAGTTGACACACACGCACACACGCCCATGCACACACACGAGAACTGTGACAAAGGGCTCCACCAGACTGATTTTGTGACTGTTCTCATGAGAGCAAAATCTCAATTTTGAGGTGTCATATTCAAGTATTTAAAAATGGAGAAACAGTCTGATTCCACGTGGTTTTCTGATCATCAGCAATCACCCTTGTTTAACTGGAGGTTCTGGAATTGGTCAAGTTAACTCCTGGGGCACAAAATAGTCTACAAAAATTGATTCGTGATTTTTTGTGATGCAGCCACTTGCTCGTGGACACTTGGTGGACCGTGGCATTCCAAGAGTTAATACTTTATGAGAGAATACGACCAGCGGACTCGCTTTTCCTGCCTCACACGGGTGAGAACAGTCTTACACATTTTCGATCAACATGCAGAGGAGGCAGATGTTAATGGTCCCTCACATCCCTCAGACGAGAAGGTGTTACTACTGCAGGAGATGCTGCTTGGCCCTAATTAGGAATCGAAGGGAAAGCAATTTGTTTGGTTTGCTTCTTACGTTTTGCTTCGTGGAGATTTTAAAACAAGTTTTCCTAGTTCTTGGCAGAAGACCGACCAGTCAGAGGCTCTGTATTTATAAATAACCAGCGGGGGATTATGCTCTCCAATTAGGCCATTGACTATCTGAAGGCCTGACAGGCAGATGTGGAGGCTTGCCAAGTGCTCTGCTAAATTTCACCGACTCTGTCCTAGAAAAAAAGAGCACTTACTCTGAGAGTTCTCTGCGTGTTTCAGAACTGACTCCTGATTATCTTAAGCTATGGAAAGACTCAGGCCCTGCCGGTGTGGCTCAGTGGTTGAGCGTCGACGCATGAAACAGGGGGTTATGGTTCTATTCCCAAGCAGGGCACATGCCCGGGTTACGGGCTTCGTCCCTAGTAGGGGGCATGCAGGAGGCAGCAGATCAATGATTCTGTTGCATCACTGATGTTTCTCTCTCTCCCTTCCTCTCTGAAATCAATACAAAAATTTTTTTTAAAAGAAAAGACTCAGGTTTTCAATGGACTCGCTAATGCTTCAGCCTCCTGCTAAAGAACCCTAACCCCAGACCTCCATCGGTGCATCACCAGTGACCACAAATAGTCAGCGAGGAACACTGTGCTCAGCAGTAGTGACATGTGGCAGCGAAAAGGAACCACCCCAGCACCCTGCCCAGCGGCTCACAGGCAGGGCCTTTCGTCAGAAGGAGAGGAGTCAGTGTCTGCGTGCACCTTGCAGACTATTGGCAACCTCTACGAGCCAATCCTTACCCCATGGGCAGACAGGTATCTTTTTTTTTTTTAATCTGCCAAGGATTACAGAGTAAAGAATGAACAGAAAGGTCTTATGCTAAAATAAGAAGTCAGCCCCATCTTGGCACAGTTCTCATGCGAATATTGCACCCAGTGTTAACTAACGCTAGAAGCTTCCAACTGTATAAATTTAAATGTCTTTGCATATTATAAAAATAAAGATAAACATGTACATATTTTACACTAGTTGCGGAACAGCAATGAATGGTCAGGCGCGCCCTCGTTCACATTGAACAGAACTGAAATCTGAGTGCTCTAAACACTGCCACCTGCGCTGGAACTATGGCTTATATGTGCACAGAAAACAAAATCCCTGAGAAGCCATTCGACTTTTTTTTTTGTCTTTTCTTTTCTTCAAGTAGCGCTCTCCTTGGAGGGTCACAGTTCTGAGGTTCAGGTTGTAAAACACTTGCTCCATATTCTCTCTCCTGACCTCCCCCCGCCCCTCCCCACCTCCTCGGCAGGCCAGGCGGGCTCCCTCCTCTGAGAGCACCCTGAGCCGTGCGCTCAAGTTCACGACACACTGGGAGTGTGGAGGGTTACCAGGTAGGAAACGTGGTCCAGGTGAGTCTCTTCACGGAAATTCCACAGCCATAAAGGTCACTGGTTTCTGTGCTTTTCACCAACGTTCTTCCTACGTGGGTGGGTGAGAAGAAAGCACAGGAATGACAACAGGCAATGGTATTCTCAACGATAAGCACAGGAAGCGATGCTCTAAATCTACTTTGCACGGATTTTATTTCTATTTCTAGAGCACCTTATTGTTGCCTAATCATGTTCCTACCAAGGAAAGAGTCCTTTCACGAGACACCTGTCGGACATTTCTGTGACATGAGGCTCAGACATAGAGACTAGACCAATGACATAGAAGCACTTACTCCACTGCAATCTCAGTTCCCTGGGTCTGTAATTAAGAACCCCGAACTCTAAATACATCACTGCCCCCTGACCAGGAACTCACACGGACACATGCTAAATAACCCTCTAGGACAGTGATGGCGAACCTATGACACGCGTGTCAGAGGTGACACGCGAACTCATTTTTTTGGTTGATTTTTCTTTGTTAAATGGCATTTAAATATATAAAATAAATATCAAAAATATAAGTCTTTGTTTTACTATGGTTGCAAATATCAAAAAATTTCTATATGTGACACGGCACCAGAGTTAAGTTAGGGTTTTTCAAAATGCTGACACGCCGAGCTCAAAAGGTTCGCCATCACTGCTCTAGGAGTAGGGATGTATACTAAAGAGTAAGAAGGATTGTACTTAAAGTGTTGTAAACAAGGCTGTTGAACTACACTCAGGAGCCGGGTGAATATAAAATGAAGAAAGGGCTGTGTCTTCAGTTAATTAAACGAAGTGACCATCAATTCAGACAAAAGAGGGAAAAATGGCCAATGTCCCCCTCCCTTATTTCAGCTTTCCTACAAAGGCAAGCTGTGATGTTTTAAGAACTGCTTTAGCAACATTTAGAAAAACATACGAAGACATACAGGGGTGAGGATCCCCCTCCCTCACCCTCCAACCTCCACCTCTCCTAAGGCTGCTTGATCTTAAGGAAACTGATAATTCAGTATCTACCTAAGACATCCCTCCAGCCCATACAAGAATCTGCTGAACATAATAACAATGTCACCAAAAACAGACACCTTCCATTTGCTAACAACATACGACACGCCGGGAATAGCACCGTCCACTGTAGAGCATTATTTCACGAATCATCAGCTCAGCTCATCCTGCCAGGTAAGCACGTTTCCCCTGCATTTTACCAAGACGCAAACCAAGGCTCCAAGTGGTTAAATAACTTCCCTGAGGGTCCACACCAGAGAGTGGCAGGGCCAGGCCTTCAGAGGAGTTGCCTGACCCCAACCTGTGCTGGACGGGCTGGAATATTCAGGGCCCCGAGGACAGTCTCCGGCTTCTATGGCACTCAGCCACGAGGACACTTTGAAGGCCTGTTAATATAGTAACTTCGGCCCTAGCCGGTTTGGCTCAGTGGATAGAGCGTAGGCCCATGGACTGAAGGGTCCCAGGTTCGATTCCGGCCAAGGGCACATGCCTGGGTTGCAGGCTTGATCCCCAGTAGGGGGTGTGCAGGAGGCAGCCGATCAATGATTCTCTCTCATCATTGATGTTTCTATCTCTCTCTCCCTCTCCCTTCCTCTCTAAAATCAACAAAAATATATTTAAAAAAATAGTAACTTCACAGTAGAGAAAGATTTGAAGACGGCCTGAAATTCAAGTAATAATACATCTCACTGTAAAGAGGACGGCCTCGTGAAAACACACGTTTCAACCAAGCAGTTAACTTTGGCGCTGGAAGACGTGGGTTCGTGCGAGAGAAGTGCTACGTAAATGTTTTGTTCACGGAATCCAAGAACCTGCGGAAATGCCGACAGCTGTGTCTGGCTGTCAGCTCTCCTGAGTCACACATGAGATTGAGAAACACAAGAATCCCTCATCAGGGGCACCTACAGGAGATTCTCCAGCGCGGAAGGGAGTAAAAGGAAAAGCGGTGTGAACATTTCCCCACATGAATACCACTCTTCATGTTCGGGCTCTTAGAGAAAAAAAATCCATCGAGTCACCGCTTCCCCACCTCAGTTAGCTTGTCCTCACCCATCAATCAAGATCCACTCAAGTGCCTAGAACTTCTCCCAGCTCTGGCTGGTGGTGTTCTTTCTTCCCTGTGCCTACAGGACTTTGCTGATACACCGGTCAGCAGGTATCACATTTTAGTTGTAATTACTCACAAGACTGCCTGGTTGTAGCTTTGGTTCTCATTCTCCCCAAGGAGGCTATTAGATTCTTGAGGGCAGAGTCTAACTCAGTTATTTCTGCATCAACACCTGGCACAATGCCTAGCAGAGGTTAAACACTCAACAAAGACCCGCTGAATGAATGATTAATAAGATGTGAAAAAGTCACAGGTAAAAAATAGCCAAGCTACTGTGAGCTCACTGCTATAATGGAGGTGTATAGAGGTAGTGAAGAGATGTCAAGGAAAGAGTGACCAATGAGTTAGAAGGGCTGATGGCTTCTCAGAGGTGACACATGGCCTTGGCCTTAGGAATAATGGGCCTTCACTGGGTGGGAGGGAAGGGGTGGCAGCCAGCTGAGGACTGAGACCCAGCCAGGGGCGCAGTATGGCTGACCCCCCCCCCCCGCCCCACAGTAAGAAGGTATGGGAGTCATGCCCAGGATTTAAACCTGTGACTATAATCACTAGGAAGCCATTCAAGGCTTTTTCATAAGGAGAGAAGTAACAGGGTCTCACACTTGAGTTGAGACTTAATCACAGAAATCTTGGCAAAGACAGGTGGATCTAGAGAATAGCGTGGGTCGGAGAGAAAGTTACACGACGGGGTTCACTCCTGTTGAGACACGCGGATATGACCGTAGAAGGTGTGCACCTGGAGAAGAGGGGCAGTGCTGAGGCTGACGGATCCCTAGCTTCACAGATGGGTGCAAAGCACAGGCTGATGAAGGGCTTTGGGGGAGAAAGACAATAATTCACACCCATGACGCCTACATCCAAGGGGGTTGCCAGGTAGGAAGTTGGAAACAGAGGGCTGGAGAAGGGAGAGATCAACTGCGGGGTGGGGGGGGGGGGCGGTCTGAGACCCAGCATCCTCTCGGGTTACTGAACACGCACTCCTGGGATATATGTTATTGAAGGTATTGAGAAGCTTAGCCCCAAACTGAAGCCACACCATGACGTGGTAGCCATGCCTTTTACTTCCTGTATTCTGAAGTTGTGACATCGGGATCTTGCTGCCCCTGGAGGGGCTGCCCCCGCAATGGGAGCCAGTTGCCAGAGATGGTAAACAACTCAAATGTGAGTGTGCTTCTCAAATGCAAACCAGACCCCACAACCTCCTCACTCTCTGGGCCACCATCCACCTGCCCCAAACACTGCAAAGGTCCCAGACAACCAGGGACAGTCCTAGGCCCCAGAGCCCCCTGAAACTATCCCATCTGGCCAGTGCTAAGCCTGCCCCTCTGCCTTCCCACAGAAACCACAATACAGGCCCTTGCCCAGTTCCTCCCTCTCTCTCTGCCTCGTGACCAACCCGGTGATTCCCCATGTAGCTCCCCGCCCCGACCCCCCACGGCATGTCTGTCCTCTAAGGAAATGTGAGTAATCAACTACCTTTTCAATGGCAGCCGTTTCCTGATCTGCTGGCCTTACTATACCTCCAATGTTCTATTAATACACTATGTTTTGAAACCAATGTGGAAGGAAGAGCTTGCTGTGAAAACAGCACTGACTGGGAGCACGATGCGGATTTCAGCCCAGCGGTGCCCTCAGTAACTGTGTTGTGGGCTCAGTGCTCCGGCCTATGGAACTCACGGGGCTGTCGGGAGGAGCAAAGGAGTTGGGGTCCCCTCCGAGGAGTTTATCCAGTCACGTAGGCATGCGTGACTACAACACGAAAGAAATGCTACCGCTTATCTCTTAGCTCCTGAAGCCTGGGCTGGGTATTGATGTCACTGGTAACTGCAGGCGACCTTACCAACAGATCCTCGTGCATTCTACCTGGACCCCTTCATGGAAAAGGCAGGGAAGGGAGGCCAACACCCTCACCTACCTATCCCGCACTCATGTGTACCTTCCGTGGGCAGGCACCTCCATTAACAAGCTAAACCCTGCTAGTAAGTCAGAGGGTGGATTTTACTCAAGTATCTCTATGTATATTATGAATTTTTTTCATTATTACCTGTATGTGCCACCCCCAGTGCACACCACTAGTAATTCTGGGTAGAAATAAGAGCAACTGATTTTATTGAGCTATATTTACTCAGTGCAAGGAACAATGCTAAATGCTTTCCCCGTGATAGTCTCTCTAATTATTATTATTTTTTTATTTTTTACAGAGAGGAAGGGAGTGGGACAGAGAGTTAGAAACATCGATGAGAGAGAAATAGCTGCCTCCCGCACACCTCCCACTGGGGATGTGCCCGCAACCAACGTACATGCCCTTGACCGGAATCGAACCAGGGACCCTTGAATCCGCAGGCCGATGCTCTATCCACTGAGCCAAACTGGTTTAGGGCTGTGATAGTCTCTCTTAATGCGCCCAGTAACCCCAGGAGATTAGCGCTTCCGTAATCTGCATCTGACAGATGCTACCTCATAGCTAAACAAGTCAACTCGGGAAGATTCCAACTCAGGAAGTTAATTCCCGAGCCCATCAAAGTGCCCTGAGAAAATAAATACAAACACGGCTTTTAGAAAGCTATCGGCTGTGCTGATCAACTGAGCTTTTCCTGATGTTATCATCTTGTCTAATATTGGAGTAATTTTTTTAGATGATTTATTTTTTCCAATAAGGATCTGATGACTGATATATGCCGGATTACAGTGACTTGGGTGAAAGAATCAAGCACTGTCCTTATCCTTAATTCCCAAACGCGTCTTGATTCTGGACAAGTAAAAGATTTGTAATCTGTCCTGCTCTATACAATCTCTTCATCCCAAACCCAATCCTCCCTTTGCCCCTAAACTCTCTGAGTCGGTAGTTCAGAAACCCTCTCTGCTTCCCAGAGACTTACCCTTAAACACTGGTGCTCCTAAAGTCAGAGCGGGCACAGTAAAAATGGTGGCATAAGGGAAAGAAGCACTATCTT